TAAAGAATTGCTTGCTTAATGGATTTTGATTACTTTTAAAATATTGTCAGTATTGTATTACGTCCACAAATCAAGTCCACTTCTCTGTATATACCATTTGACTCCCACGCCTTCAGGGGTCTGCATTACTTATCCATTTATACAAATGGACTCAGCCTATGTTACAAGCCTCACTTCTGGGTTATTAATACAGCACATACAAAGGATATAGGTTCATTTAAGCAATAATTAGGGATTATTCTAGCCTCGGTGAGGGAATAATCTAAATTTTATTAAAGACAGGAGGCGAATATTTGCTTTACCTTCTTTACTGAAACCTCCAGCAGCAAAGAAACAGTTAACAGAACTTTTCAAAACAACCAATCAGAACAAAGCAACAGTAGTATAAAACCCCTAAGCAGGCTCTTCCACTTCCTCTTTCTTTGATGAGGTCGAGCAGGAGAGCAAGGAAACCAACAAATCCACCTTGTAGCAGACACATCCAGAGAAACAATCGTCAAGCCCAGAGAGAAAACAGATTACACTGCAAGAAAACAGAAAACATTGTGAAAGTAAACTGTCAAGGCAAGATGTCATATCCATACAATATCACTTTCACATCATAATACCTGATGAATAAACAAAGTCTACAGATCTTATGAAGACCTAGTATGTACCTAAGCTAAAAGGCATTGACAAAACATAATTACAACACAAACATGATGAATAAAACGCACACGGACAACCATCACTGAATATTAGAAATAACCTTTATTATGTAAAACCATGCATTCACAAAACATAACAATATCCCCAATTATTTATAATAGAATAAAACTCAGATCCAGGGAGGGAACGTAAAAAAGGGGGGGGGGAAATATTCGCCTCCTGTCTTTAATAAAATTTAGATTATTCCCTCACCGAGGCTAGAATAATCCCTAATTTTATGGCAGGACAGGAGGCTTCATATTTGCAATTTTAACGCCCAAATAGTAGAACCAGAAGAAATATGAGATAGAGGACTGAAATAAAGGAGAATGGAAAAACTGATTCCCTAAACCAAGCAGCGGTGTAGAGAAAATGCAGAAGGGACCCAACAGCTTTCAAAATTGTTGAGGTGACAGCACCCTGAACCAAAAGTGTCCCAGAGGAACTCAAGGTCAGTCAATGAGAGGATCCACCAAATCCAACGGGTGAGCGAAGATGCAGAAACAGTCCAAAACGGCTGTACGCAGAAATAAACAGCTGTCCATGAGTAGACGGACGAAAGAACCAGATCCTGGATCTACATGGTCGTGTACAATCTGTCAACAGAGCTGTGGCCTATCCGGAGAATAGGGGTACGACACAGAGGACGAATAAAAATGAAATGTGTGGAGCAGAAGCCGATGTACTGAACGGCAAGAAGGAAGAAGACACGTCGATACCATGACGTCAGAACGCGATGAAATAAAAGATGTACTGGGGGGAAACCGTAAGCGGAAAAAACTGGTGCACCTTGTCATCAGGTCATTCCTCAATGAAATGAACACACGATACCACTAGACTTGAGGAATAGCGAGAGATAGGGCTCCCGTATGGTATACTCCTCTTGGTAGACTGCAGACCAAGAGATCCTTAGCAATGCCAGAATCTTGAGAAAACGCACATGAGTCGTCCACTAGCTGACATAGGACGTGAATGGCCCCATACGATCCTACCCTGAGAGGGCAACTCAGCCAGACAATGGGGACAGCCATGATAAGGACCGCCATTGGGACCCAAACACCATTCATGGCAGGCTACCCCTGTGGCATTAAGAGACAGGGAGTCGTAGATTGCCTTCCCATGGCAAACTCCAGCAAAAAGAGGAAAGCACGCAGGACTCCTCCGAAGTGGTTTGGCCAGGCGAAACGACACTTCCAGAAATTCGGTCTGAAGCAAAACCCAAAGTATCCTGTAGGTAAACGGGATGCGTACGCCCCGAAGGAGACCAAGCTTGGAAAACTCGTCCCTCGCCGAGGATCCGGCAGCCAGTTGGAGAACCGCTCCATATGGCGGTTCGCACCGAATGTAATCATGCCAGTACTCGAGATCCTGGAGGGTGAGGCAACCAATCATCGGGGTCTCTCCATGGTCGGGTGAAGCCGTCCGCCACACGAATGTCTCGTCCCGCATACATTCTGTCACAAATGACGAATACTTGTCCAGAAGCTATAGATAGCGATCCTATGTGAGATCCGACTGCCGTCCATAGTGGGCAACCGGTGAGAAGTCCATACCGGAAGGTAGCGAGCAATACTGTGAATGTTGAACAAACCTGCAGGTAGTTCCATGCAGTTGGCGTAAAGGAGTCCCTCCTCCGGAGTCATCAATTAAGTTTTAGATGAGCTTCATCCGAAGGTCACATGATTTGGTCATACAAGGCCAAAGACCCGAGAAAGCGCCATGTTGGAGCGGCTGATAGTACCGGATCCTGGAGGTATGGCTTCCATGGCGAATAGGCACCGGTCAATTAACCGGGTTGGGCCCCTAAGTGTAACCCGCGGGTTGCAGAGTATATACCTGGTATTTTCCTTGAAGACGGACATCTTGGTCCTCGGGAGGCGGAGCACCGCCTGGACCGAATATTCCATGAAAGACCGGAAACTGGGTTGACTGGGAGTGAGTCAGATTCAATATGTCCATGTTGATGGCAAAATCCATGCGGGTTTCTCTCATGTGCATTTGAGGGAGAGAACCAATCGTCAACGCCGAGCAGCTCTCAGAGGGGATGAGTGCCCTCCATCTCAAAATGTGTCAACAGACGACATATGCACTGGGAGCATGTAGCGTGGGGATGGGGCGGGTGTCCACTCCACCGCACCCTTTGCCCAGCAGGGCAACTGCGGAATGAGTCGGAACGGATGCCTCTTTTGGTCATGCGTATTGCTCATGGAACGGTCCAAGGTTCCGCAACCTTGATCTGGAGTCCGGGCACGGTCCGAGAGACCTCTGTGATTAGCTAAGGTGGAACCCTATGAATAGAGATGTGTCAGCTCAATTTGTACATGAGGGTAACTCCGGAGAGCAGACCCAGCACTTGGATGCTAAATCCATCAGTTTGATGTCCAGCTTGGACAGGGGCCGTTTTGCGGTTCTCAGGGGTAGAAACCAACTAGGCGATACCTATAAGTCATATCGGTCCATTCCCAGTGGGAATTTAGTCTTCTCCGCTTTCCAAGCGGTAACGCGCCGTTCGTCCCGAGGAAACATCTGTGTCCGTATGTCACTGACATCCACTGGTTAGTCCCAGATAGAGTGCAAACCCCGTGTCAGGTGTTTGCGGTGTCCTTTCCGGACTCCGCCATGAAGACTGATCCTCTTGATGAATCCATCCGTTAGCCAACGAGTACCAGGGGTGCTTGGTGTAGCGTCTAGGATGGCCGGTGGAATGTTCCCGTAGGGTACCGATGGTTTCTGGCAGTGAGGTCAGCGGGGCGGCAAGAGGACAGGCCAAGTGACCTTCTGGGTACAGGAGATTTGTCCTTCAGCCGTGATTGCACAACTGCCATAGAGGTAACACTGTCGGAATGATACCTGGTGCGGCCAGCTGGGGGTCACCCAGCGTGCAAGAGGGGGTCACCCAACAAGCACAAGCATACCATGCAGTATAGGCCTGCAGGGGAGGGGGTCACCCTCAGTCTGAACATAATCGGACACTGTAGGTACAGTGGTGCGGCCAGCTGGGGGTCACCCAGCGTGCAAGAGGGGGTCACCCAACAAGCACAAGCATACCATGCAGTATAGGCCAGCAGGGGAGGGGGTCACCCTCAGTCTGAACATAATCGGACACTGTGGGTACAGTAGTGCCGAAGTGGTTAGCCGTATAATGAAGTAACCAGACATTGCCAGTCCAGCAGTGTAGACGGCAGGAGGGGGTCACCCTCATATAACCAGAACCGGGCATTGCAGATCCAGCAGTGCTGTAGGTAAGAGGGGGTCACCCTCAGTGTGGTATCATAGAGGTCTGTACACCCAGCAGTGTAGTCAGCTAGAGGGGGTCACCCTCATTATGGTTATAATGGGACCCTGTAGGTCCAGCAGAGTAGTCCACAGGAGGGGGTCACCCTCAGTATCTGCGTATTGCAGGGCACTGTAAGAACAGAAGCTCAATCAGTGGGAGGGGTACCCTCTTTTATGGGAATACCCGGATGCTGCAGGTCCAGCAGTGCAGACTGCAGGAGGGGTACCCCCTCGGTATGATAATAGCAGGACATTGCCGGAGCATTAATATAGGAAGCAGGAGGGGGTCACCCTCAGCATTAATCTTACAGGACGCCGTAGAGCCAGCAGGGTACTCATAGGTAGCCATGTTGCCAGAGGGAGGGGGTCACCCAGCCCACAATGGTGTCACACGTCCATTATTATGGTCCAGTAGCGGGTAGAGCCCCAGAAATATGGATGGGGGGGGTTCACCCCCCAGTAATAACAGGTCTGAATGTGGGGCCAGTAGCCCCCCTGAGGGGTAGGAGGGTCCATATAGCGAGAAGCTGACTCACAGACCACTCAGGTATTATATTAGGATTCACTTTTGAATTGTATGTGTAGTGGAAAATTTAAGTCCCTTGCAGGAAGGGCAGCAAATCCTAGGCAGGGATGCTAGGTGCTGAAAAACAGGCCATTTAAATTTTTATGAGAAAAACACTGAACCTTAGAGAAAGACTTGATTAGCATATAACACATGTGGCATAGTCTTGTTAAACAAAGATTTTTATTTGAGCAGTAACGTGTCCCTTTAAATCTGAGATTCACATGTAATAGTAAAAAAGTGTGACAAGTCTACTGCTAAGATAGAGAACCTAGTCACATTGCATCAGACATAGTAAGCTGCAGTTGTGAGTGTGCCCTGGGACAGATCCTGCTATCCAGGATCTGTTACATATGCAGCATGTGAGACAGGCACAGTAAGTAGAGGGATAGTTGAAAAACTGGGCTATCTCCCCTGATATAGGGAGAGGGGAGGGTGGCCACATGGCCAGCAGGCCAGTTCTTGGGTGAGACCTGGCTGTTTGCAACGCACAGAGCCCATGTGGCTCTGAAAAATGGCCGCCGCGGCTCCAACAAAATGGCTGCCGTGGCTGCAAAAACAGAGCGCGGCCTACCGCGTGGTGATCGTGCGGCACTGCCACGGTAGAAAAGGCTGCTCAGCAAGCGGCCAGGGGCCACAGGGAGCAGGTGGGGAACAAGGGAGAAGGGTATGGGCGACAGAGCCCAGCAGGGGAACCTGGGGAGGGGGAACAGATTACAGGCAGAGCCAAAGCATCATAGCAGGGGCACCCATTCCCCATACAGCAGAGTGAGAAAACAGAATAAAGTAACCCAGAATAACAATAAATCAATGAGCAGTATCCAGAATCTATCAGATAAATGGCCTAAATACAGCAACAGGTGTTAACAAGTGATACAGCAGCTACATAGCATGAAGTGGTATAGGAAATAACACAAAATAAACTGCCTAGCTAAACCCAGCAATAGACTGCCTAGCTAAACACAGCAATAGACTGCCTAGCTAAATCCAGCAAGAACCCTGCCTAAATAAAACCAGCAATTAAGCTGCCTAAACAAACCTAACAAATAGACTGATTAAATAAACAAGCAGCATGTAGGATAAAAAAACAACCCAGAGCAGAGACAACTCTGAGTTGGTGAGTGCTCACCTGGAGGCAGCAGCAAAGAAAGAGGAAGTGGAAGAGCCTGCTTAGGGGTTTTATACTACTGTTGCTTTGTTCTGATTGGTTGTTTTGAAAAGTTCTGTTAACTGTTTCTTTGCTGCTGGAGGTTTCAGTAAAGAAGGTAAAGCAAATATGAAGCCTCCTGTCCTGCCATAAAATTCTCGGGTTGATACGTCTTTTCTATACAAACATATCATATAGATATACATCACTTTACATCATTTTAAATCATTTTGGGGTATCCCTGCCTTTAGTTATTCTGCTACATATCATACATAACGCTGTGTTAATTAGGCCATGACCTCATCCATGTCCCTTTCTATAAAACCAGTTACAGATCATTGAACTCCCACGCCAGGAGTTTTATAACTATCCATTTCATTTCAATTCACTCAGCCTACATTACAGGCCTCATTTCTCTGTCATGACGATGACACATAAGGCTTAAATCCTTTCGCATGCATACTCGGGTTGAATCACACGTACTGATCCAACCAATCATACGTCCCCTGCACAGTCATATACATATGTATATAACCTACGTTTCATGTTTTCCTTTACACACCATTATCACGTAACACATAGATTGTTTGTACATAGGCCACGGCCTCCCTCAGATGTCTTATTCAAGCATGCAAACATTTCTGAGCCACTCATAGCTATTCCCATGGTATCAACATAATTTTATACATTGCTGCTACAGACTATAAGTCTGGTTCTTTTTACACTCCACACTCATCATACTACTCTCTTTTACCCATTTTTAGGCTGTCAAGCTTATATAATTGCTCCACACGGTTTATTCCTGTGATTTATCATACTATCAGGTACGTACACCTGCTCATATGGTATTCTACCATACATTTCATTTCATCCCCCTAGTTTAGAGTACTGGCAATAGGGTCACAGGATTCCCAATAGGTATTTACCCCGTCTTGGCTGTCGCCATCAGTTAGTGGTCCCGCGAGGCCAACACCCCGCCTCAAACGTTTCGGAGGCAAACACCCATCGGGCCACACGTTAGCTAGCCGCCTCGCATGTTGCATAGAGAGGGCCTCACCTGTCACTCCCTTCCCCTGTTTTCTGTCATACAGTCACCGAGAGGCCTAAAACTCCTGCCACTACGTCAAGTGGCCTCAATAACCCCTCGCGCCAACGCATAGATAGAGCCTCTCAAGCCGCTTGGCAATTAGCAGGGCCTCACCTGTCACCAAACAAGTATAATACTTTCGCCATCCGGCCTAGCTAGCCTGCCAGTACAATTTGGTGGTTCTATATACTAATTATTGTTTTATTTATAATATGTCTCAGGAAGGGGTAGAGGATTTCTCCCTGCCTAGCACCCCGGCTAGAGCTGTCACTCCCACACAAGGAGGAGAGCTAGCTAGTCCAGCATCAATTAGATCCTGGACAATCCCGCGCATAACCACGGAATTAAGGAGACGACAAATCCCCTACCCTGCTACAGCAAGGAAGGCAGAACTTTTCAAACTGCTGCGCACATCAACTAATAACATGGAAGCCGGGGAAGGATCTAGCCAGTCCAACCCAGGGGACATACATGCCATGTTATCCTCACTCATGGCATCCATGGGCAAGGTCAACTCCAGGCTGGAGAAACTTGAGTCGGTCACCACGGCCCTCACTCTAGCAGGGCCACCCGCGGCTGCGGTACAAACACCAGCCTTGCCATTAGTCGCTCCAGCCAGCACCCTGGATGACCAGGAAGTTAGCCCGGCCCACATGATACCTGAGCATATCAAAAGGGATATCCTGGAAGGTAAAGACATCAACCTGGCTTCCCTGTTGATTGCCTCCCAGGACATTGTGGAACATAAGACGTATGCTTATGATGATGTTTCTGTTATTGTCAGATCTAGGGATGCCCGCCTGAACAGGAAACTGACTATCCCTGAATTTGTACTAGCGTTTGGTATTTACAGGGATGTCGTCTGTGCGGTTTATCCCAACAGAAGAGAGGAGTTTGATCTCTATATGCACAAGCTGGTAGACCTGGGCAACAAATATGGTGGTTCAGCATTCTATGACTACCATAGGTCTTTTTCTGCAAAAGTGGCTGGAGCCTTCTCCCAGTACGGAACACGATCCAACTGGGGAAGGATTGATACCGTCTTATTTTGCAGACACTTTGCAGGTCTAAGAACACCAGCTTGTGCATACTGCTCCTCCACAGCCCATACTACTAATTTTTGTCCCAACACGGCAGACGGACATGCCTCCACACAAGGAACTAGTTCCTCTGGGGATCCAGGGAAACTATCCAAAGACAAATTGGGACGCCCAATCAAGTTTCTGGGCAAGTCCCAGATATGTAATAATTTCAATGTTGGGTCTTGTAATTACAGTGGATGTAGACTATTGCATGTCTGTTCAAAATGTTTTAGGGCACATGCCAAGACCATGTGTCCAAATAAAATGTATTCTAAGCCTTACCTTACGTCCATTAATATGCCAGTATTCACAGCATTGATGTCTCAGCACCCATCTAGACACCTGGTAGATTTTCTTATTTCTGGTTTAACAGAAGGCTTCCACACAGGTATCCTACACATACCAGCTGGAACTCTGGAATGCCCTAACCTACAATCTGCCCAACACAACCCCACAGTGGTTGACACCCTCATAAACCAAGAAGTGGATGAGGGCTTTGTATTGGGGCCTTTTAGAACTCCTCCATTCACAGAATGGCGCACCAACCCTATTGGTATTGTCACAGGGAAATCTTCCCAAAAACAGAGACTCATCATTGACTTATCGGCTCCCCACTCATCGGCCAACCCCAGTCTTAATTCCATCATACCCTCAGAGGAATTCTCTCTGCAATACACCACCATAGATCACGCCATTACAGCCATCATACAAGCAGGGGTGGGAGCCTGGCTCAGTAAGACCGACATTACTAACGCCTTCAAATTACTCCCTATCCACCCCACACTGTGGCACCTGCATGGCATCAAGTGGTCCGGGAACTACTATTTTTTCTCCCGGTTAACTTTTGGGTCCAAAAGTAGCCCAGCTATTTTCGACACATTTGCCGAAGCATTATGCTGGTTACTATTGAACATAGCCGGATGCCCTACGGTATTACATTACTTGGACGATTTCCTACTGGTCGAGGAGAATACTGCACCTCCCACTAGCCTCAAAGCTACCACTAAGCTGTTTGAGCAACTAGGTGTACCCATCTCCCCAAAGAAAACAGAAGGGCCAGACACGGTTATCACTTTTCTGGGTATCCAATTAGACTCTGCCACAATGCAAGCAAGCCTACCATACGATAAGATAGAGAATATTCTCACTTACATAAACAACTACCTACAGCTCGGCACTTGCAACCGCAAAGAACTACAGTCCCTGCTGGGGTCACTAAATTTTGCAATGCGCATCATACCTCAAGGCCGCTCCTTTATTTCACGACTATTGCATCTTTTCCCACTTTTTCTACATGACACGCACAGGTTGTCCTTAGATGCCCAAGCTACGGCAGATCTAAACATGTGGAAGAGGTTTTTAACCACTTGGAATGGTAAAAGTATGTTCCTCCCTCAATTGACTGAATCATCTCCTACCATTTGGTCAGATGCGGCATCTACCACTGGTTTTGCAGCAATTTTTGGGAACGAATGGCTTTGGGGCAGCTGGCCTTCAGCAGTTCTGGATTTGGAAGGTTTTTCCACTACCTCAGCTCTTTTTGAGATCTACCCCATAGTGGCGGCTGCCGTAGCGTGGGGTCATTTATGGGCTAATACGCCAGTGCGTTGTTACTCAGACAACCAGGCAACCTGTCACATCATCAACAAAGGTCGTTCCAAATCTCTTACGATTATGAGATTTCTGAGGAAACTCACTTGGTTGGCAGCTTGTCATAATTTCTTCCTATGTTGTTTCCATGTGCCAGGTGTATATAACACAGCTGCTGACAGTTTGTCTCGCTTTAAATTTCAGGAGTTTCATCAAGCACTCCCGTCAGCAGCACCCACAGCCACCATCACTCCAACATTTCAACAACTCATACTGGAATAGACGTCATCATGCAGCATAGCAGGACATTGTCTCAGTTGGCACTTTCACACAATACAAACAAAACATACAGCAGGGCTTTCACACTATTCAAACGATTCCTTCTGGAACATAACATCATACAACCGTTTGTTATGACATCTTTTTGGGGTTTTGCTTCCTTTTGCCACCTTAAACTCAAAATGTCATACAACACCATCAAACTCTATCTCACTGGCATTCAACACCACATGCTCATCTTACACCCAAATAACAACAGTTTCATGGCCTCTCACCAAATTAAGACCATACTCAGAGGTATTCAAAAATCAGAACCCACACATTTGGCCCAGAGGCTACCCATAGATAACCATATCTTCAAAGCATTATCTAACCTACTCGACCTAAAACCGTTTGACACTAATACGAATTCTATCATCAAAACAGCAATATACATCACTTTCTATGGATTTCTACGACCCAGAGAATTCACTACGACCTCCACGACCCAAACCACTCCATTCCTCCTCTATTCCCACTTGACAAAACATATGGATCATTACATCCTGTCTTTACCTCACTCCAAAACCAGCCAGCACATACCTGTAAACATTCCGTACTATCCCACGCACAACAGATGGTGTCCCGTCAAGGTTCTTGATGCCTACATACAGCACCATCACTTACTGCCCTCGCAACCGTTATTACAACTACAAGGTGCAGTACTCACCACTACAACCTTCATGACCTACGTCAGGTCCTTGCTCACACAACTGGGCCTCAACGCAAACAATTACTCAGGACACTCCTTTCGTATAGGAGCCGCGTCCACAGCCTCCAGTTTCAACATCCCAACTCATGTTATCAAAACACTGGGGCACTGGAAGTCATCCGCTTACTCACGGTACATACTGAACCCAGTACAAGAATTAAGGGATGCTTTCATAAACATGTCTGGTTGATAAATGT